CTTAGCAGTTCTAGTTCTCATATCAAGAATATTAGTGAAATTAATATTGCTTATATTGAAAAACTTTTAGCTAATTGGAAAATTCTCATTAATGAGTTATATATTCGTGAATTTAAATTAAGACAAACTTATTCTATAAAGACTGTTGAACAGGATTTGAATGTTACTAATAGTAATCAGACTTTTCAATTATTGAGCAAATCGGCTTGGGCCTACCGCTTGGGGCTTCATTCAGGAGTGAGGGCAGTTGGGATCCAGTGGTGGAGAGGTTTGAGAAACGGCTGGCTGGGTGGAAGAAACAGTATCTTTCTAAAGGGGGGAGGGTCACTCCTTTGAAGAGTACTTTCTTCCTCTTTAGTGGCTAAAAGTATTGAGGCTGCAAAGAAATTTTCTATGGGGTGGTTAAGGGGAGGAGTTCAAGTATCATTTGGTGGAGTGGGAGAGGGTCTGCACTCCAATTCAGCAAGGTGGGTTGGGAATCAGACGATTATTGCCTTTTAATAAGGCCTTATTGGGAAAATGGCTTTAGAGATTCGGGATAGAGAGAAATAGATTCTGGAGGGGGGTGATTGTGAGCAGAAACGGGGAGGCGAGAGGAGGATGGCACACCCCTGAGGTGAGCTTGCCATATAGGGTTGGGGTTTGGAGCACATTCAGAAGCGGTGGGATGAATTCTCTAAGCACATCAGATTTCATGTTAGAGATGGCAGGAGGATACGTCTTTGGGATGACATCTGGTGCGGGGAGCGTTCCCTTGCTAGCATTTTCCCTTTTCTCTTTCAGATTGCTTCTGATCAACACGCCATGTTGGTCGCCTGCTATCGCCTTGATAGTGGAAGAATGTTATGGGATGTATGTTTCTTGTGGCTGTTTCAGGATTAGGAGATGGAGGATGCCATGATTTTCTTGGATTTGTTATATCGACGAGAGCTAGTGGAGGATAGTTCAGACATATGCGCTTGGGTTCTATCTTCACTTGGGCGTTTTGATGTTCGGTCATTTTATCGTTGTTTGGTGGATGCCCCTGGCCTGTCATTTCCATAAAGGGCCGTTTGGCGAACAAAAGCCCCTCTCAAAGTAGCATTTTTTGCATGGACATCCATTTTGGGAAAGATCTTGACTCGGGACAACCTTCAGAGAGAAGACATATCGTGGTGAATCAGTGTTTTATGTGCAAAAACAACGAGGAAACAGTTGATCATCTTCTTTTTCACTATCCTGACGCCCGAAATTGTTGGCTTGTGTTTTTCGGTTTGTTTGGGATTCATTGGGTAATGCCGATGTCTACCAAAGGCTAGATCGAGGCTTGGAGAAGGTGTATAGTGGGGGGCCAAGCTCGTGACCCTTGGAGGGTTACTCCTTTGAGCGTTTGGTGGTGTCTATGGCTTGAAAGAAATAGGAGATCTTTTGAGGGAAAGGAAAATCATGTTGGGTCCTTGAAATTCTCCATTCTTAGCACCTTTTCTGTTGGGTTCTAGGAAGAAATTGTAAATTATTGGATTAGCTTGTAGAGTTTTTGGATTTGTTTAGGATTTAAAGGCCCTATTTGGCCTTGTATTGTTTTTCAGGGATGCGTTCCCCTTTTGAACGCTTTTTTAATGAATTATTACTTATCAAAAAAAAATTGAAAGATAAATATAAATACATTCATCTAGGATTAGTGCAAGTAGGGCTTAAACCTATGACAGACACAGGATTAGATACATCTCTTTTAGTTAATCTCCGTGACTGTCGTGATCTTGGATTTGAAGAATCCTTACATGGCATGGTCGAGACAAGCCTCTATCAAAAGGACAAGTTTATTTTAATTGTTATCCTAATTTTTTGGTTTCCTTGGGTGATCCTCATATTCTGGATGTCTTCACACTTAATATCCAAACTCAAAGACATCGCATGAAAACCAATGCCAAAAATATTAATCCGAGTTACCGAATATATTTTAAGGCCATGACCACCATGAACCCTCAATTCATCAATCTTGTCCAACCTGAAAATGCTACTGTTCTTTTTCAAGCCAACATTAACAAAGCTCCTGAAGCCACTCCCAAAACACTCAAATGGATTGATATAACCCAACCTGCCTCATGGGTTTTATCCAACGCCACCCCTGTGGATGTGCCACAGAAAAATCAGGTTGGAAGCATTATTGACAATGGTGAAGGAAATGTCGAAATTCAATTTACTCCTAATAATAGACCCTCGACTTCTTCCCGCCTCTCTAATGCATCTATTGAATCATTCCACACTGCTCGAAATTCCTTTGGGTCTCGATCTCTCCAACAGCCTAATTCCCAGTCTAGAATTCAGATGGAAGGAATTCGAAGTAGTTCCTTTCACCAATGTCTTATGGAGATCCCTGGCCCTCCTTTCCCTTGGAGAGCTATTTGTAGGACAAAAGCCCCCTTGAATGTGGCTTTCTTTGCATTGTTTGCTGCCCTTGGAAGTATCCTCACTCTCGACAACCTCAGAAGAAGACTCCAGATTGTGGTGAACTAGTGTTGCATGTGCAAGAAGTCGGGGGAATCTGTGAACCACCTTCTGCTTCACTACCCTATGGTGAGGGATCTTTGGGATATGTTCCTGGTTGCCTTTGGTGCGGCTTGGGTGTTCCCTGAGTCCACGGTTGATTTGTCAGAGATGCTTGGAAAGGGTGTACACTGGAGAGCCGAATGAGAGATGCTTGGAGGACCACTCTCCTTTGTCTTTGGTGGGGCTCGTGGCGTGAGAGTTATAGGAGATCCTTTGATGGGGAGGAGTCTCCTATTTGGTCTCTCAAATACAATATACTATCTTCTTTATTCTTTTGGGTTTAATGGGCGAAATTGTATATCTAAGGATAGTCTTTTGGATTTTGTGAATAGCTTAAAGTCGTAATGTCGTTGTAGGCGGCTTTTTGTTCTCTTGGGAGCACACCCTTTTGTGTACCTTTTATGATTTTTTACTTATCAATATATATATATATATATATATATATATATATATATATATATATATATATAATAATAATAATAATAATAAAATAAAATAAAACTGAATCAATCGATAGTCAGCTTCCCTCATTTGGTTTTAAACACAGAACTCAAGCCACCAGTAACCAATTTAAAACAGCAGACCCAATTACCATAATAAAATGGCAATTTACATTGACATGTATACATGTTTACATCCAATGCAGAAAGGAATTGCTAGGTGGCTGCTACCCTATTTAGATTTTAATGGTATTATGCTTTTAACGGAGACTGATCTTCGAGTCATGGCACCAAAAGTTCATGTATCATGTAAAGTAATAAACGTACATACAACAATTAATCATCGTAATTATACAACAATTGATCATCGCAATCCTAATCATTAATCCATTTACAAATAAGTTAATCATTTAAATCAACTTAGAGACCAATATTAGGCATTCTCAATTAGTTAACCAAATGTAACATAACAAGAACCATAGGATACAGTTATTCAAAAAAGAATCTATTGTTTGTAATAGACCCAATTCAACCCCCCGTTGACTTTAAGAGATTATCAAAACAAGACTAAAGTAGAAGAAGATGAAAAAGAAGAGAAGGAAGAGGATGAAAGAAAAATAGAGACAGTTGGGGAAAGAGAGAGAGGGAGAATGAAATAATCCATTCATCTTTCCACCACATTCTATTTATACTAAGAAGTTTCAGAAATTACACATAAGCACCCTACTTTATATAAGTAGTAACAAATAAGCCCATAACAACACTCCCCCCAAACTGGTGCAAAGATATCTATCATGCCCACCTTGACTAACATATTTTGCAAGCAAGTCTTGCTCACACCCTTGGTCAAAAAATCAGCAACCCGATCAAGTGTTATCCTGTGCTTTATCCTGTCATGTTGAACAGGTATGGGCAATGCTAATAACAGCCTTGTTGTCACAATACAACTTCATTGACTCGCGAACAGGATAACCCAACTCATCCAGCATAGTTCGTAGCCATAACTCACAAACTCCATGTACCATGGATCTGAACTCAACCCTCCACACATAGATCTAGCTACTACAGATTGTTTCTTGCTTCGCTATGAAACAAGATTACCTCCAACAAATGTGCAATATCTAAAGTAGATCCTCGATTTGTCACCCAGCCCAATCAACATCCGTATAGGCTTCAACACGCAAATGGCCCTTGACGTAGCGGAGAACATGATAAGCTGCCTTAAGATGAGGTGTACGTGGAGCACGCATAAACTAACTAATCACACAAACAATGTAGGCAATATCTGGGAGCGTAAGAGATAAGTAAATCAGTCTCCCAAGCAATCGTTGAAATATTCCCAGATCATCTAATGGGTAGCCATCCACATTATTAAGCCTATGGTTATGCTCAATGGGAATATCAATAGGTCTAGCTCCAAGCCAACCAGTTTCAGCCAACAAATCTAACACGTACTTCAGTTGAGAAATGAACACCATTTTCTTGGATCTGCACACCTCGATGCCAAGAAAGTATTTCAATGATCTGAGGTCTTTAACCTCGAAATTTGTCCCCAAGAATGACTTCATTCGATGAATCTCTTCTGAATCATTCCCAGTGATAACAATATCATCAACATAGGAAGTAAAGGTGACATCTAGTTGGTTCACGTACAAACATAAAATGAATCAGATGCAGAAAAAGAGAGGAATGGCATATTATTGATGGGGCATATGCATAGAGTTAATAGATGTGCTGTATATAAGGCTTTACATAATAAGAAAAATATATAAATTGTCAAATTTTTACCACTCCACACAAGATCTAGTACTTTTTTTCGATCGATTTTCTATATGGTAAACTAACTTCCGCTGATAGTAGCCAACTGAATGCCTTGATTTGAATCTTTTATTAGTAAATAATATTATAAATTATGCATGACACGTGATGGTACCTAGAACAGGTCCTAGCCAATTGCCTAGGAAAAGAATGGCATGTTAGATCATGTTTATAACAAATTCCAGTCAGCATATGAAAATTAAACCAACTTACAAAGATGATGATACTTCTGAACTTCCATTCCTTTCACCAGTAGCTTTTGACAACTCAGCAAGTTCCATGTTTCTTTCTCTAGCAGCATCCCTCTTAATTTCTTCAACACTCTTTCCAGAGAGAAACTAGGATACATTTCAAAGAGATTGAATAATGATATAAATATAAATAACAAAATAAGCAGTTCCAAGTGTCACCTACAATATTAAAACAATAAAAAAGTAATCCTATATAGAAGAAATATAAAAAGAAGAAAAATGAGAGAATTGTATAAAGGCTTGAATGAGATAAATCACTCATTCACAGCTTTAGTATTTATAGATAAAAAAAATAAAAATTAAAAAAAAAAAAACACATGCTCATATTACAAGATAGGAAATTAAATCAAATCTAAATCAAATCATAGAATATTCTATGACATATTCTATAGCATAATCAAATTGCCGCTAATATGTTAAGTCATTCCATAAATCGTGGCTATCATATCTGCTAGCACTCCCCCTCAAGTTGGTGCGTGGATATCTGAAACGCCTAACTTGGACAATGCATTCTCAAACACAATCGACGCCCTTTGAAAGAATGTTTGCAAGTTGCTGAGAGCTTGTGATAAATGGAGTGCAAATTTATTTTTATAAGTAAAATGTATAAAAAGCACTCAAAAGGGGAGCATGTCCCAAGGGAACTACACAAGGCCAAAAAGGCCTATAAACTTTCAAGGAGTCCATAAAATCTACAATCTCCTCTAAATATCTATAATTTCTCCCTATAACCCAACAAAAAATAGTAGTAATAATAGAGAACTTAAGCATGGAGATAGGAGTCTCCTTTCCTTCAAAGGATCTCTTGTTTCTTTCGAGCCAAAGACACCAACAGACACACAATGGCGTAACCCTCCAAACATCATGGACTTGGGCCCCCACTATGCGACCTCTCCAAGCCTCAATCAACCCTCTAGAGGACCTTGGCATAACCCACTGAACACCAAACAAACCAAGCATCAAATCCTAGCACTCCCTAGCCATGGTGCAATGCAAGAGAAGGTGATCCACCGTCTCCTCATCTCTACGACACATGTAGCAACAATTGACCACAACCTGATTCCTTTTTCTCAAATTATCCTAAGTCAAAATCTTCCCCAAAACAGATGTCCAAGCAAAGAAAGCCACCTTTAAGTGGGCTTTGGAGGGCCAAACAACCTTCCACGAGAATGGAACCCCGAGTCCCTCCATGAAACATCTATAGAAGGACCGAACATCAAAGTGACCCTGAGAAGCAGGGACACATAACCATCCATCATAATCTCCACTCATGATCTCTTGGCGATAAAGTAACTCCAAAAGACCAACGACATCCTTGATCTCCCAATCCTGAAAGTGCCTCGTGAAATGATCTTCCGCTATCAAGTCGATAACAGTCAACCACCATGGTCTGCCTATCCGTGGCAATCCTGAAAAGCCGAGGGAAAAAGAGAGCAAGCGAGCGGTTACCACACCAAACGTCCTCCCAGAAACTAATCCTCTTACCATCCCTAAGATGAAATTTGATGCGTTTCAAAAAAAACATATTATCCTTTCCGAATGAATTTCCAAACACCAACTCCCCCTGGAGTACGCACCTCAAGGGAACTCCAACCTCCTCTCCCCTCCCCAAATCTACTTGCAATCACCCTCCTCCAAAGCCTATGTCTCTCCACCCCAAATCTCCAAAGCCACTTCCCGAGGAGAGCCATTTCTAAAGCACCAATCTTCTGATACCCAAGACTCCGACACAAATCGGACAACAAACCTTTTCCCAGCGAACCAGATGGAACTTGAACTCCTCCCCCAATCCCCCCAAAGAAAATTCAGCTGCAACCTCTCAATCCTCTTAGCCACGGAATGAGGAATATGGAACAAAGAAAGGAAGTAAGTAGGATGACTTGAAAGTGTACTCTTCAATAAGGTGACCTTTCCTCCCTTAGAAAGATATTGTTTTTTCCATCCCGCCAACCTCTTCTCGAACCTCTCCACCACAGGATCCGGCTTCCCACCCTCCTTGAGGACGAACCAAGGGGTAAACCCAAATAGAAGATAGGAAACGAACCAATGCTACATCCAAGAGCCCCTACTAAAATCGTGATCTCAGGAACTTCCCCACCAAAACACTCTTTCCCGCGTTCACTTTCAGACCGGAGACAATTTGGAACCAAATTAGAACACATCTCAAATATCTTAACTGGGACACATCTGCATCACAAAACACCAAAGTGTCGTCAGCAAACATCAAGTGAGAAATCTCCAACTAACTAGCTGCATCCATCCCCACCGTAAAGCCTCCCAGAAAACCTAAGTACACAGCCCTCCTCAACAATCTACTAAGGAACTCCATCACAATAAGGAAAAGAAAAGGAGAGAGCGGATCCCCCTACCTTAAGCCCCTCGAACTGGAAAAAGTTCCTGTCGGAGATCCATTCACAAGCACATAGAGGCGAGGATTGGAAATGCAAAACTGAATCCATCACCTCCATCTCTCACCAAACCCCATCCTTTCCAACAAATAGAGAAGAAAACTCCAACTCACATCACAAGCCTTCGCAATGTCCAATTTACAAAGGACATCAGGAACCCCACTACACAATCTGGAATCCACACATTCGCTAGTGATAAGGGCTGAATCCAAAATCTGACAGCCTCCCACAAAGGCATTTTAAGATTTGAAAATAACCCCATCCAAGACTCTCCTCAATCTAAAAGCAATAACTTTGGCAATCAACTTGTAGATGCATCCCACTAGACTGATGGGTCGAAAATCCCAAACATCGAATCCCCCCCCCCCCCCCCCCGGCCCCCTCCTTTTTTCTTTGGAATAAGAGCAATAAAGGTAGCATTCAGACTTTTCTCAAAACAACCCTGAGCATGAAAAGTACCCATCACCTCCTCCCTAACCACCTCCTAGCTTTCCAAAAGGAATCTAATGGAAAAGCCATCAGGTCCTGGGGATTTATCCTCATTACAACTCTTTAAAGCAGTCAATACCTCCTTTTCCGAAAAAGGCTCCTCCAAACTAGTGCACTCCTCAGCAGAAATAGAGCTCCCCCCCCGGCGGGCCGGGGCCCCCTGATGGCCTCCAATTTTCTATAAACAACATCTTATAGAAAAAGCAGTCAAAATCTCCTCTTCTGAAAAAGGCTCCTCCAAACTAGTGCACTCCTTAGCAAAAATAGAGTCAAAGTGAAGCCCCCCAGTGATGGTCTCCAACTTGAGGTTTCTGTAAACCACATCTTATAGAAAAAGCAGTCAAGACCTCCTCTTTTGAAAAAGGCTCCTCCAAACTGGTGCACTCCTCAGCAGAAATAGAGTCAAAGTGAAGCGCCCCCACCCCCCCTTCCCCCCGGGCGCCGCCACGATGGCCTCTAACTTGAGGTTTCTGTAAACATCTTATAGAAATCAGCAATTCCCCTTCACACCTCCTCCTTACACATCAACTCTCCTTCCACCCGAATCCTCCCAATATGATTGCCCCTTCTATGGGCATAGGCAAGTCTATGAAAGAACTTCGTATTTTTGTCGCCCTCCTGGAGCCACAAGGCTCTAGACTTTTGTCTCCACAAGATCTCTTCCATGATAGCAAATTTGAGCAGAGACAATCTTCTCTCGAAAGCATCTCTATATGCTTAGTCCTATCATGTTGAACGGGATTTGTTGCTATGCTAATGGCAAACTTGTTGTCGCAGTAGAGTGAGAATGGAAACGACACTAGAAGGCACAAGTCTGTCATCAAGGTTTTCAACCATAGCAATTCACATAACCCAAGAGCCATAGCCCTATACTCTGTCTCTGCACCAGATCAAGAGACAACTTCCTGCTTCTTACTGCACCAAGTTACCACCAATAATGGTACAATAGCCCGAAGTTGACCTCCTATCTGAAATAATCAGCATCTGTCCAAGCCTCAACACGTAAGTGACCATGATTGGCAGACAAAATACCACGGCCCAGACACCCTTTTAAGTAGCGAAAGATCCGAATAGCTATATCAAGGTGAGGGGTACGAGGTGAGTGCGTGAATTGACTCACGATGCTCACGGCATAAGCAATGACAGGTCGAGTCATGGATAAATAGATGAGCCTCCCCACTAGTTGTTGATACTGACCAACATCTGACAACTCTCCCTCATAATCAGTCAACCAATGATTCTGCTCAATCAGAGTATCAGCAAGACGAGCGTCAAGCTGACCAAAAGTAGAAAGTAAGGCAAGAACATACTTGCGTTGAGAGATGAAAATGCCAGCCTTGGAGCGAGCCACCTCAATGCCCTAGAAGTACCGAAGGGGACCAAAATCCTTAATCTCAAACTGACAGCCAAGATAGCTCGTAACCTCAGCAATTCCGGTAGTATCATATCCGGTAAAAACAATATCATCAACATACACAATGAGAGCAACTGTCTTACCGCCTGAATGACTTAAGAACAAGGTATAATCAGCTGCACTCTAATGGAAACCAAACTTGAGCATGGCAGTGCCAAAGTGATCAGACCAAGCTCGAGGAGATTGCTTGAGGCCATACAGGGAACGACGAAGATGACAGACTATACCAGAATGAGCAGGAGAACGAAAGCCCGGAGGGGGAACCATGTACACCTCCTTCTGCAAATCACCATTGAGAAAGGCATTCTTGACATCTAACTGAAATAGAGGCCAAGTTCAAATCGCAACGGAAAATAATACACGGATGGTATTCATCTTGGCAACAGGGGCAAAAGTCTCCTGATAATCTATGCCATAGTCTGAGAATAACCCTTGGCAACCAACTGGGCCTTGTAACGAGCAACAGACCCAGATGATTATGCTAAACTGTAAACACCCAACGACAGCCCACAGCCTTTCGTCCAATAAGAAGCGAAACCATGCCCTAAACATGATTTTTCTTAAGTGCCCACAGTTCTTCTGTCATAGCATCACGCTATTGAGCTTGTGCTAGTGCATCTACAACACTAGAAGAAAGAGGAACCGAGGCAACAGAAACACGAAAACTCCGATAGGAGGGTGAGAGAGCACAATCAGAAACAAAATTAGAAATAGGGTAAGTACAAGAACGTTAACCCTTTCGAAGAGCAATGGGGCAATCATCAAGCGAAACAATA